CTGAGTTTTACAACTCAAGCTCTCTAACCTCTTAGCATAAAGTGCATCGTACATCCCATCAAAATAAATGTCAAACTCCCCCTGCAATCAAGTATCATCTCCCCCTGCTTGAGTGAAAAACTCTGTGAAAACTTCATGATACTTGTTGGACATCAAAAACTCTCAATACCTCCTAGACCATCGAATTGGTTCTTCAAGCTCAGTATATTTGATCATCCATTTGAGTGTATGACACACTGGTATGCTCGTGTGACACACATTTCGTAAACTTAGGATACAAATCCTTTTTAGCTATCCATACATATCCATACCTTCTGGGTTCCACATAACAAAGGTTCATCCCAAGCTCTCTCAATCTGATTTCTCTGAGAATAACAAAACGCACTTTTATGACCATGATTCCCACAAAACAAACATCCATTTCTCCGAGTTATTGCAGGTTTGAGAGGGTGAACTTTTGTATGAGCCTTATGTTCCTTTTCCACAGGTGCAGATGTATGTGTTTCTCAACTTTTGAGCTACTTTCAGGGTGAGAGGTAGTACCTTTTCCAAAGTTGATAACATTAACTGGACTAGCTAGATTTTTTGGAGCAGCACCCTTGTAACCTAAACCCTAGTTCACCTTTGGAAATTGTCCAAGTGATAAAATATGATCTAAAGTTTCAGATCCTTTATTCAACATCCTTAACTTTTTGTAATTTTCACTGAGTTCTCTTTGCAGCAGCTGACTTTTCTCGAGTTCCTTATTCAGTAGCTGTTTCGTCTGCTCATATTTGGCCTCCAAGCTCTTTAGATTGTAGGCCTGCTCAGAGATTGTCTTTTGTAGACTCTGTAGATCAGACTCCATCTCTTCTTTTGACATCCCAGTCTCTGCTTTATTGTTGTTTTTGGACTCTAGAATGTTTCATTTTGCTTCAAGCCTTGCTTTATCTTTGATCAGCTGCATATTTTCTTCACTGATTTTAGCAAATTGACCAAAGAGAACTTGATACTCAGCAAAAAGATCTGCATTTAAATCACTTTATGTATCATTGTGTGACGCATTAGAACTGGTGTATGACACAGACGACACACGAGTTTCACCTTTAGTGATGTGTTTGTTAGACCCTACAACTCCATGACAAAGTTGAGAGTATCTTCCTCTCCTTCTGACTTTATCACTGCAACTTCTCTTCATCTTCATCTTCTTTGTGTTCACACAATCTGATTTTATGTGCCCATAACCATTACATCCATTTCATCTGATTTCTTTTCTCTTGAATGATGGACAATCTGTTTTGACATGTCCAATACCCTAACAATTAAAACACATCACTTCCTGCTTTTTATGTCTTTCTTCTTCTCTAGGCAGTTTACTGTTGGACATCTTATACAAAAGATCCATGATTTCTTCAAGTTTCTGAATCATTAGGTGAACAGATTCTTCAAGTTTTTGAGCTCTTTGGATGTCTTCCCCATCAACTGAAATTCTTGAATTCTGAACAGGCTTTGACAACTTAGATTCTAATTCCATCTCCTCAGCCTTTAAAATCCCTACTAGCTCAGCGAACTTCAGTTCATCAGTGTTCCTCGTCAAAGTTATTGCTGCTTTATGTGCTGCAAACTTAGTAGGTAAACATCGCAATAGTTTCTTCACCAATTTTGCATCTTCATATTTTTTACCAAAAACTTGTGCTTCTTTGGTATGGAGCTGAGCTTGGCACTGAAGTTTCCTATCTTCTCATCATCGGTCATCCTTATGTTTTCAAACTGTTATGCAAGCAAGTCTAGTCTTATCCTCCTGACATTCGCAGTACCCTCAAAGGCGTTTTGTAGTATGTCCCAAGCCTCTTTAGTTGATTCACATCCTTGTATTAACTCAAATTGCTTACTGATATCGCGTGCGAACGCACACCAATTAACCTAATGTGCACACTACCACAATCGAATGGTATGTCGATGTAGCACTTTAGGATCGAATCCACAGAGACCAAATATTACACTTTATTTCTATAGGATCAAATTCAAAGCTAAAACGATTAAGTGTTGTAAAGAAGCAAATCGTGAGAAACAAATAATTAAATTTGGTTTTAATTTTAGGATATAAGGATGTCAACCTAGGGTGTCTCATTGGGTGTTAACCATGCTGAACCAAACAATTATTCAAGCTTTTTAAGTGCAGCCTAAAACTCAGATTTCTTAACTAGAACACCATGCTCTCGCAGGTGTGCTCCTTTCGCAGAGGAGCAATGGTACCTATGCTCTCGCGTGGACCAATACTCAACAGCAAATATTAAGCACATACCTAATATGCTCACATTACACCCTGATATCTACTTTCGCTAACCACGGATGTGATGCTTGCTCTCAACAGATCTAGCAACCTAATTCAGGATTAATGATAAAAGATTAAACTTGGAATCAAATACTAAGTGATCAAATCAGTATCAGCAGTAAGAACAGTGGAGAGAAGAGGCGAGAATGATGCTTATCTATGTTCAGTTCAATGGATCAACACCCTAGAACCCTAGGTTAACAAATCGACTACTCAATCATAGCATAAGAGAACACACAAATCATGACTGAATAATGCATTAGATAAATCAAGGTATAAAGAGGGTTCAGAGATTTCTTCTCTAGAAACCAAGAGGAGGAAGCCTTGGCCCTTACAAAATAGCTAGAACAAATCTTCAACAAAAAGTCTCAAAATAGTTTCTTGTGTGTAAAATAGTCTAATTTCTTTGTGTGTTAGAGTAGAGGCGGCCAGGGATGTTTTATTGGAGGGACGTCGCCTGCTAGGGTAGAGAAGGAGTGCTTTTTGAATCCTTCCAGAAATAGATCAGAGGTCTCATTAAAGAACGGGAGAAAATGGGGGTTTGCTCCGCATGGGTGTTCCGCGTTGGAAAACTCTGGTTTTTGCATTCTTTCTTCCATATGCTCCCTCTGGTGCATTCCAACTCGTTTTATACCTGAAATAACTCAAAACACACTAAGTATAATCCAGGAAAACAAAAAAGTGATATGCAAAGTATGTGTGTAATATGTCAAAAACACAACATATCACTTACCATCTACAGAACTGAAGATTGTATCCAATGCTTTTGCATTAAACTTTGAAAGCTTTTTCTCTGTTGCAGTCCACTTTGTGTTTGGTTTAGGTGTCTTCAAACCATCTTCTAGCATCACATATGGTTCTTCCCATCCAAATTGAACAACTGTCAAGATATCTTCATCAGCTCCACGTAAGTTTGCTCTCATTCTCACTTTCCAATACCCATGATTCACATCATTCAGCAGCAACATATTATGTGCCAAAATCGCCATATTCTCTTCTCAAGATCTCACCTTGTTTCAAAGAACTCTTCTTCGTTTAGGTGTCCCGCTCTGATACCAAGTAGAATCGAGATACAGCGAAAAATATAATGCACAAAGTAATTCCAAAAAACTCTTATCTCTTTTATTAGAAATCCTTTACACAATCTCTTACAGATTTGTTTGATCCGAATTACACGAGTCGCCACGGACCGATTCCTAAAACACCCAAGTTGCTTGCCTCAACACCTGTTGATCAAGTCTACCAATTCACTCAGCTATGAAACCCCAAAACCCTTTGTGTTTCCCTTTGAGAATTACAACGACAAAACCCCAAATCCCCAAATTAGGTAAAAGTCAAAATATATATTAAATAATCTTTTCCTATTATCTAATATATTATTTTTCTATATTTTAGCATCATAAATCTTCTAATTTCGTCAACCAAACCTATAGAAATATTCCACATCTCCGCATCTTGATAATTCATTTTTTATTCTCCGAAATGTGTGTACACACCAATCTCTATGTATAACACAAGTACACGAACCAAAACTCCACCAGCAACTTCTCAAACTTTAAGTGCAGTAACTTTTCAAGCTCTAAATTCTTGAGCTTACACCTAATTCACCACTTAACTCTATTTCATAATCGCCATCAAATCAAGATTTCTTGTTAATTCATCGTAGGCTCAATCAATATTCCAGAATTCTGTTCCAGCTATGTACAAAGTTCAATTCAAACCTCTTTCCTGAAGCACATGTTGCAACAATTCCACAATTGCGGGAGATGGAACTCTATGGAACTTTAATCTCTATAGTTTTTCGTTAAAGAACTTAATAATTGCTTAATATTTGTATGACAACCGTTAGACTTCAAAACTTAATAATTGCTTAATATTAATATTTTTAGTTCCAAAAGAATTCAAAACTGACTCTTTGATACTTCTTAAAGACATGAACATATAACATTAATTAGAAACTGAGAATATGTTTTTGGTCGATTAGAGTAAGCCGGGGCTCCACTTGCTTGTTCCGACTCAAATGTAGTTTTCATTGTCAATTTCTTCTTCTTTTTAATCGTATGACGTAAAAGTGATAATTTACACTTAAAAAGTTATTTTGTCCTACTCATGGTGACGTGGAGAAATATTTTAGAACTCAATATCACAGCAATATGTGACTGAAAAACTTGTAACTCATTTAAAGATTAAAGTTGGACACATTATCAGTCGATAGCATTTTCTTAACCGTAATCGTTAGCATTTGTTGGTTTAAAATATATAACTATTTTATTCATTTTGTACAATGAAAAACTAAATTGACATGCTTGATAACATTTTTAGTCGTATTGCTTGAAGTTATAATGACACGCCTAATAGAAACAATTTTGATAAATCAAGAAGATAACCAAAATTAAAGACAAATAAGCCAAAATGAGTATGAACAGAAAAAAGGCAATATAAATAAGTGTGAACAAGTTCATAACCTTTTGAGTCTACGTGGGTACATTTACTTTGTTTTTTATTCCTGTAGAACATTTCACTTTATCGTCTCCTATAGTTTTGTTAAAAAAAGTATAAGCCGCGTTATAACAACTCATTTATAATCCCAATTAAATTTTATTTATTATTCAGTGTTCTACCAACTTTGTTCTATATATATTCAGCACTTCATGACCATTCAACACTCTACCAATCTCTTCTAATATCTCAGTCACCCTCTTAATCCTTCACAAAACTTTTGAAGTTTTCACACCATTATTAATTTCTTTCGAAACACTTATCTTAATTTTAAGTCTTTGGAGAATTTCTGTCCTAAAATAGTCTCTTCTTTTTTTTTGTTCAGATAATGTTCTTGTCACATAAAGAATGCAAGCGACTTAATTTACAATATTTTATTAACAATAAAACGTGTGTCGAAAAAAGTTTCTATTTCTGGATTTTCCAAATACCAACCGTTGTAGCATCTTGATCGTGTCTTAAATCATAATCTGAATTCTAAACACTCACGTGCGGCAAGATTTCGCAGTTTCTTGTGTAACAAGTCACTTACGGTCAGGGATTTTGCAAATGGGAAGTTCATGTTTACCTCCAGGATTCCGCTTTCATCCTACTGATGAAGAACTCATCGACTATTACCTGAAAAGAAAAGTCGAAGGTCTCGAAATCGAGCTTGAAGTCATTCCCCTTATTGACCTTTATAAATTTGATCCGTGGGAGTTACCAGGTAATAGTTACCTTAAATTTCAAAGTCATTTTCAATCTTTTATTATACTTTGAAATTATTAATTAACAAGAAATTATTTATTTTTGTTACTTTTAGACAAGTCTTTTCTACCAAACCGGGACATGGAATGGTTCTTCTTCTGTTCAAGGGACAAAAAATATCCTAATGGTTTTCGTACAAACCGAGGAACAAAGGCCGGTTATTGGAAAGCAACCGGAAAAGACAGGAAAATTACTTGTCGTTCATCTACTACAATCGGCTATAGAAAAACCCTAGTTTTCTATAAAGGTCGTGCCCCATTAGGTGATAGAACCACTTGGCTCATGCATGAATATCGACTATGCGATGAAGATACTTCATCACAAGGATCACAACATTACAAGGTAAGAACGTTACATTAATTTTAGGCAAATTCTGTAATGCTTTATTTGTTTCTAAATGTGATAAATTACAGGGAGCTTATGTGTTATGTCGTGTGGCTAAGAAGAATGAGATCAAGACAAATTCGAAAATCCGAAGAAACCTAAGTGAACAAACACTTGGATCAGGAGAAAGTTCGGGTTATTCTAGTCGAGTGACTTCACCTAGTCGGGATGGAACGATGCCGTTTCACTCATTTGTCAATCCGGTTTCTACTGAAATAGGCTCTTCCAACATTTGGATGTCACCTGATTTCATCCTCGATTCTTCAAAAGTATGTATTATACAATTTTTAACTTGACCAATAACTAAACCGGAACAAGGTTTTTAATCTAATACTGGTTTTATTATGTTCTTGTAGGACTATCCTCAAATCCAAGATTTTGCATCTGAGTACTTACAAGACTTTGATTTTCCTGTTATCGGTCAAGTAGATTTTCCAGCGAGTATCTTGCATACCAATGTAGATCAGCACATGGATGAATCTATGCAAACCGGCTATTGGACAAACTGTGGATACGACCAAACCGGTTTATTCAGTTACTCAGAGCTCTCCTAGACGGAGTCTCGTTTGAAGTCTCTCTTCTTTTACTCGAAAAGAAAAAAAAGAAGTCTCTCTTGTAAGACCAAAACGCCTTTTATTGTTCGAGTCTTCCAACTTTTATAGCTTTGGTCTATATGGATGGTTTAACTATTCTATTTTTTTCTTTCATATTATTACTTGTTTATTATGGACTTGTTTTATTAATGTATTAGTAGTCGATCTGTGCTACAGGCAGTATGTATTTCTTTTATGTTTTATATTAAGAATCTATTTTATCAAATGTAACCGTTAAAATAGTAATCTAATTGTAAAAGTTGATTTACAATTAACGTTGTAGTTGTTTACTTGTGGCAAGTTTAAGTCACTGGATAAAACGGTTAAGAATGAAGATCATCTTTATTTTTTAACTGTATCTGATCTTTTGTAGTTTTGATATATTATTTAATTAAATGTGATTATTTAGTGGAAAAATAATTTAAATGTGTGGCTTAAAAGGTCATAGTTTTTTAGGTATTGTTGTTTTGATTTTTGAGCCGCTTTGTCAAAGATTGTGATGATCGTAAAAAGTTACAGATTGGTTAATCCAGCGGATGGTATCTCCTAAAATTTCTTTAAGCTGGTTTTCGATGTTAGAGAATGACAGATTTACATTTACTTTGAAAGATAGATATTGTAACAGGTTGTTGGATTATAGGGGAGGTCGCTAACCTTTTATATTCGTGTAAATGACACAAAACGTTTTTGTTGAGATTGTGGGTTAATGAAAAAAATTATTGAGAATTGTAACTTAGTGGTAACATTGTATGCTAGCACAAGTGGATTTTAGTTAATGCATCATTGTTTTATTAATGTATTAGTAGTCGATCCACGCTACGGACAAAATGTATTTCTTTCATATTTTATATTAAGAATCTATTTTATCAAATGTAATCGTTAAAATGGTCATCTAGTTGTAAAAGTTGGTTTACAATTAACGTTGTAGTTGTTTACTTGTGACAAATTTTAGTCACTGGATAAATCAGTTAAGAATGAAGATCATCTTTTTTTGAATTGTATCTGATCTTTTGTAGTTCTGATATATTGTTTAATTAAGTGTTATTATTTAGTGGCAAAGAATTTAAATGGTATGGCTTAAAAGGTCATAGTCTTGTAGGCATTGTTGTTTTGATTTTTCAGCCGCTTTTGTCAAAGATTGTGATGACGCAAGAAGTTATAAATTGGTTAAACCAGGGGATGATATGTCCTAGAATTTCTTTAAGAAGTTTTCGATGTTAGAGAATAGCTGATTTACATTTACTTTGAAAGATATATTTTGTAAGAGGTTGTTGGTAGGCCTAGGCATTTCAGATATCGGTTCGGTTTGAACATTGGATACAAATTTCAGATATTTCAGATTACTTTGGATATTTGGATAAAATTATTCGTATACTTTTAGGTAGTTCGGATACTTTATAATTATTTAATTATCTTCAACTATTTTTGGATACTTCTAATAGATTTTGAAATTAAAATCATATATTTGGTTATGTTATATGTATATAAAATTAATATTATTATATATTCGGGTATTCGTACGGTTCTCGCTTCGGTTCCGGTTCAGTTATTTTGGATATATAAATATAAGAACCGTTCGGATATTTAGGGGCTTCGGTTCGGTTCCGGTTTCATATATTTTGGTTCAGTTTCGGTTCGGTTCTTCAAATCTGATTTTTTTGCCCAGGCCTAGTTGTTGGATTGTAGTGGAAGTCGCTAACCTTTATATCCGTGTAAATGACACAAAACATTTATGTTGAGATGTGTGAGTTAATAGAAATATTTATTGAGAATTGTAATATAGTGGTAACATTGTATGCTAGGGTAAGTGGATTTTAGTTAATGCATCAAATATTTACTACAAAAAAATTGAGCAAAGTTTACTCCTAATTGTTAAATTTGAAACTTGAACATATTTTTGTTTGTGTTTATTTTTTATTTTCTATTACCGTGATAATTTGTCTTGGAGAAAGTCAAACATAATATTGTCGTGAATCTCTGATTTATATGAATGTTTTTTATTTATATATATTATAAAATATATTAATATATTATAAATATATTAATATATTATAAATATATTAACATAAATAAGTTTATTAATTATGTTTTATTTTTTAAAATATGATGTATTTTCTAGTTTATGATGTAACTTTGTGTACTTTTAAATTTCTCCACACATGTAAATCTGAAAATATTATTAATAACATTTTATTTTATTTTTTAAAAATTACATATATAAATATCAAAATTAGTAAAATTAGATATTTAAATGAGGTGATATATATGAAGATGATATGGTATTTATTATTGAGTATATCTATTTTCCATAATTTTAAAATTTTAAAAATATAAATATATTAGTATACATAAATTAATTAATTTTTTTAACACAAACTGATTTGTTAATTTTGCTATTTAATAAAAATTAATTTTGTTATTTAATAACAAATTAAATAACAAACTGATTTTTTTTAAACAAACTGATTTGTTAATTTTTTCATTTAATAAAAAAGATGTATGAAAATTTATTTATGATTACAAAAGTTATAACTGATTTTTGCTAAAGACATAATTTATTATAAAGAAACAAACAAACGACAATTCAAAGAAATGATCTAGAGAAAAAGCTTATTTTCGGTAGTTAGATACATGGCTGCGGTGAATATGAGAAATCCATGAACCAAACTAAAAACATTTTACCAAATGCCACAAACCCATAAGTATGTTCACAGGTTTTTCTTTATCTTCAACTGAGACCACCGTCTTGATAACAAATCTAGAGTCGAGATTTCCATCGCTGATTCTATCGGAAATAAAATCGGTAAAAGAAGACCGTATGTAGACAATCAAGCTTTACCTGAGGAAATGAATAAGAGAAATAAGAAAAGACCGTTAAAGATCGAAGAAGATGATGAAGATAAATGTTAGATATTTAAGTTTTCATCCATCGTGAAGAAAATGTTAAAAGTGAGAAAGTTATTTTTTTGTTTAATTTTATTGGACTAATAATATTTATTAAAGTCAATATCATTTAAAAATACCAAAAAAAAATCCATAAAAAAAAAAAAAATCTAACAACTATTCAACAAATGAGAACATAACAAATATAAATTTTTGCCCGTATGGAGAGAAAAAATTCTATAAAATATCGCTAACTACGTATTGGAAGCTGGTGTTCTGTTTTCTCTGTGGTTTTTACATTATTTTCAATAGGACTATGAATTATTGTTATCTTTATCTTTGAAACGTTCTCTCATTTCATATGTTGATTAATTGGACCACACAAAATAAAGAACCTTTTTCTGGACGTCACTAACCTTTAAAACAAACTTTGTGGAAGTGATAAGTTGATAACAATGATTCTGCGAAAAATAATCTTTTATAAAAATATATGATGGGACCATATACCTGTATGGGATTTAATTTAGTTACATAATGTGATTTTAACATTTGAAAATAGAGTAGTTATTTATAGATCTAAATGTAACTTTACATCAATATGGGTCCATAGCTCAGTGGTAGAGCAATTGACTGCAGATCAATAGGTCACCGGTTCGAACCCGGTTGGGCCCTATGTTTTTTTATTTTCTCTATTTTTTTGTTGTTAATTCATGAGTTACGACTTGCCATAAATAACAACAGAAAAGGCAAACATGTTTTTTTTTTTGGAATAAGTAAAGCCTCACAAATTACAAACTCGTGTTCGCGAAATTCCAAAATATAAGAAACACTCAATCAATATCCATTATTCATCATAAAAGGAGAATTAAATCACATAGAAAACTTTACCAAAGCAAGCCGAACTATACCGGTCGGTTCAATTTCCAACCAGTAGATCCACCGGTTTCTTAATACGTACTTTCCACATCCACTCGATCAACAGTCTTATCATACTCCTTGAAACAGGCAATAGTTCCCAGCTCCTCCACCTCATCAATCACGGAATCAAGCCTACCCACCATCTCCACCAGAAGCGACGCAAACGCAGCAAACGGTAACGCCTCTGAAAACTCCAAACTTTTCATAACCGCAACCTTACTCAACTGTTTTCTAAATCTCCTCTTCTCTCTAACCACACCCGTTTTATTCATTGACCTCCGGTCTGACGTGTGACCCATAAAGCTAGAGAGCGAAACGGCGCTGCTAAGACGAGGTTGCGATACGGTGCCGTTTTGTTGCGTTGGTTGACCTAAAACATTGCTGTCCAAGTTATTACTGTCGTTGTAATATGAAACATTGCGGTTTAAGTGTTTGTTGGTGATGTCACTGTGAAGGTTAGATCCCAAGAAGAGCTTAGGTTGTGATTTTATTGCCGCATTGAGGTCTTTTAATGCCACTTCAAGATTGTCGGAGAGAATCTCCGGGGAGCAATGACGTTTGTTTAGAATGCTTTCAGAGAGTTCCGACAAAACTTTGCAGATTTCTCCGCCTAGTCTAACACAAGGATCTTTGAAGAGGATACGAATAGACCTAGGAGTCTTGAAAATAAACATAAAGTATGGTTATAAAACACTATACATTATACAATATTTATATGTTGTAATGGAACGTTACAGACTTACAGTTAGGTATACCTGAATCTCGGTTTGTAAGCAACCGTGAAGAGCAACAACAGTGTGACCAAACTTGCGAAGAACAGAGCCAATTTTGATGTATTGTTGAGATGGAAATTTATCGCAACGCAGTGTGTGTCTTGGCTCCCAACTTGCATACATCGCCTAATTATATGTATATATATGTCAATGTGTTCAATAATCTTTTATCTCCTATGTATTAAAAAAAAGAAGATAACAACATTTTAGCTATGACACGTGTCATCACTAGAATGCATCTCCAAGTTTTTAGAAAAAATGCTAATCCATATAAATATATAATATACTTTTAACTATATTAACCATATAACTATTATTAATATTATTCTTTCTTTCCCTTACATATAAATTATGAAATTACTTTATGTGGTTAATATACATATATATATATATATATATGAGAATTAATGATTTGAATACAAAAAAAATGGATAGAAATTTGTGTAAGATCTATTTTAAAAAATTATATTGTGAAAATAAATTAAACAATCACATTACCGATATAAAAAAACTTAGATTTTTTCGTATATATTATATTTTAAATTTAAAAAAACTTATAAATTAATAAAACTTTTAAAAACTTCACATAGAATATTTTTGATTAATAGTTTCAGTTTCTTGTTATAACAATACACAAATGATTAAAAAATTAACGAGTAAGCATATCATTTAATAGTTATTTTTTTTAAAAAAAAGGGCATATCATTTAATAGTTATTCAGATTATATATATATATATATATAGTGACGTTTAAATTAAACTAGACTATAAAATACATAAATATTAATTTCAAAATTGTTGAACAAGTATTGAAAGTTTCATACTTTAATTTCAAACTTTGAATTGATCTTTCAAAAACGATAATGAATTACTATAAATATTAAACGTATGAATTGTTTAAAAATTTGTTATAAAAATATATATAGATGATCATATAACTGTTGATCATAAATCTATATGAGAAGGAAGCTTTATTTAATAGATTACCAAATTAAAAATAGACTATATCTATATATTAATATCATTTATTCTTTAGTTTTACTTATATAAAGTGACTGTAAACAAACAAGTGTGATTTTTTTTTTGTGTTCACGCTAATTTAACTAATTTCTTATTTATTCAATATATATATATATATATATATAAATATATATATTATTTTATAATATATTAAAACAGAAATAAAAAATTATACGTAAAATATTTGTATTTAATTCTCATTCCGTGCAATCTTAACCTAGTTTCTTAATATTGGAAGGTTCGCCATATTTTTGAGTTTAAACACTTTTTAACAACCATGTATATGTTTTATAACACTTTCCTATACTAATCCCAAAGTATGCGGAATAGCCGCTTAGGACATTGAAAATGGTTACTTATGGTTAAAATCATAGAGAGAGAACTCACAATTGTAACCCCTTAGTATAATCAACTACTAGACCATCATCACGAGTTAGTGTTATAAAACATGTACATTGGTAGTATCTAAATCAATATTTCAAATTAGAATAGTAAAAATCATAATTAAAAAGCAAGAATATTTCAAAACTTGAAATTTACAAGGCGAATTCCAAACTACTTGAGTAACGAGACCATTATAAGTTAGTGCGTTAGAGCATGATTAAATATCTTATTTGAGACTCTTAACTCATGATTTGATTTTTTTTTACACTTTTTCGGCTATGAAAAGTTTCTTATATCTCTTATTTAAGAGACAGTCTTTAATTTTTTAACTAAAAAAAGCTAAAAACCGTCTATTAGCCGAAGCTATAACCACCTCCATCAATGGGTTTAAGAAGGGGTTCTAAAGGAATAAAGAGAAAATATTAAATCAAAAATTGGTTTATTTCACAGAACCGGTGCTTAATTAAGAGAGTTTAGAGACGGTAAAAACCCCATACGTGGCAGCAGCGTATTGGGTTGTTCCTTTTACACGAAAGGGGAAAAAAGTCATGTCTTTCTCTTTCGTAGTCGGTTGGTGTCTCTCATCTTTGATGTCACCGAAATCCCATCTCCGTCGATTCCAAAATCTCCAACGGAGATAATATTTGATCTATTTGTTCGTCGTCGATTATGACTCTCTCTTGTTCGATTTCGTCGGGTCTCTCGTTCCCTTGTAGGTTCTGTCGAAATCTCCAACGGAGAAGACGTTTGATTCGTTTCTTTCTTCGTCGATGTTGTCCTCCAGACTCGTCCATGCAATTACCATGAAGGTTCAGTTTCTTTTATATTTTTGTTCCCGTCAATTGAATTCCTTTGTTATTTTGTCTTATTTTGAAGTAAGAAGTGTGTTGTAATTAAACTAGAGTCTTGAGTTTTAATTTGAAAAACAGTTGTAGCAGTTTAGGATGGTTTAGCTGCATGGGAAACACTAAAGGACAAGACACATAACATTGAAATGGAAAAAGGTGTTGCAAGCACCAGAAAGATACGGATCAAACTTCATCAAAGCGGATCAAACATGTCAAAGCATCTCTTTAAACTCAGAGGTAAGTAGACAATTCTTTAATGCGTGTTAGACATTGTTTAGGTTGGAATTAAATGGACTTTAGGATCATGTATTTTGTTGTTTTATAATTAGGTATATACATTTACTTTCTTGGTTGTTTCATATCTCCTTCTCATTCTCCTTTTGTGTCTGGGTTTTAGTTAATGGTTTTGCTTAAGCCGAGTTAGAGTTAGACAATGATTAGGTAGGTGTGTTTTACATTAGCTGTTTATTGGTTTGACATAAATTGTGTTTGAGCCATTGCTTCATGTATTGTTCTCTGTTAGACAGTGATTAGGTAGGTATACTTTACATTAATTGTTTATTGGCTAGACATAAACTCAAAAACCAAAAACTCTCTCTTTAAATATGATGAACTCGCCCTTCCTCCTTTGCACATTCCTTCTCATTGATATTTCCTTCTAGCTTTAAAACCAGTATGGATTTGTATGGACATACATCAGGCTTTATAAACCTTCTAAACAGTCAAACCCTCATCAGTATGTGAGTGGTTCAACTAGTGTAGATGAACTTGGAGCCTCTGATATCTCTGTCTTCTGTAGCAAATGTGCCGAAGATGCATACACTATTACTGACCTAAAGAAAGGCGTAAGTGTCACCAACAGTAGATCTTGTCCTCATCAGTGCTTGGTTGAACACCTCCAAAGATCATGTAGTTGGTAATGAGCAAAAGGGCATAGCATTTTGGAAGATAATTGTTTCTTATTCTGCATCAAGTCCAAAGCTTGACGGTTTTTCAAAGAGAGAGCCAAGTCATTATAAACAAAGGTGGGGGAAGATTAATGAGGGTGTGTGAAAGTTTGTAGGTTGCTATGAATCTACGGTTAAAGAGAAATCTAGTGGCCAAAGAGAGGATGATGTTATGAAACTGGCACATGCGATTTTATTAAATGATTACAAGGTGAAGTTCACACTTGAGCATGCATGCTTAGAGCTTCGCCATGATAAGAAATGGTGTGGAATTTCCTATACTAAATAAATTTTGAAGACTAAAAGAAGAAATATTGATGACCAATCCACTCTGTGAGCAAGGCAACGAGTGTGGAGGAGGTAGGAAGCCGCTAGTGGATTTTTAGATGATGTGAGGGATAAGACAAAAGGACTATCTTATCAAGGAGAAGCATAACAAGCAAAAACTGCTTGATAGCCTCATTGGAAAGATAGAGCCACTTACTGAGATTGAAATTTCTTTGAAGAATAAGCTAATTAATAACATGTTTGCAAGTTAGGTTTTGTTTCTGTTTAATGGCTGAGTTTGTTGAATGGCTGAGTTTGTTTATGTTTCATTGTAATGTCTGAGTCTGTTTGAGCTAAATGTCTGAGTCTATTTCTGTTTAATGTCACATTGTGTGTCTGGCTTTATGAGTTGTAATGAAAGTTCAAGTTGAATCAAGTTGAAGTTTCATGTCGTTTATGAGTTTGATTGAACTTGAGTTTATTTGTTTATGTTTCTGTGTGTCTTATTGTGTGTTATGATTCACGTTTCCTTGGCCTTTGCTTACACGTTTCTCATCAGTTTAAGCAGACTACATGTGACGGAAGAAAACAATAGGAAATAGAAGAGGACAAGAAGAAAAAGAAGCTTTACAGCTTGTGAATGTTGGCAGACCACATGTGACAGAAAAAGACAATACGAAATTGAAGAGGACAAGAAGAAAAATAAGCTTTACAGCTTGTGAGGACAAGAAGAACACGTACATGTGTGGCCAACATGTGGCAAATTCTACTTATTTATTTTTCTTTATAAGCAATGCAATATCTGGCCAATGAGTGTATTGTGTTTCAATAAACCATTTATTTTTTCCTCTTCCTCTTTCAGAAATATTGTGTTTCTTGCAACGAAAAAGAACTTTCAACAATGAGTGTATTGTGTGTCTTAAAAATTCCCAAAATATTGTGATGACTTGCAACAAACCATTTCACCAAAATATTGTGTGTTCTCTTACCATTTCACTAAAAACATTTAATGTTCTTAATGGTTTCTTCCTCTTCTAATAATATTGAAAAAAATGAGGGATAAAAGATTCGACCAAATTTTCGATCAACAATTCGAAAATCTTCTCATTCATAATGATGATCGTCAAGAAGCATCAAGGTCAAAAAAGAAACGAGCCTACATTGAAAGATAGCGAGAACAAGAGCACTTGCAGTTATGAAACGATTATTTTAGTGAAAATGCAACATATCCTTCTCACATTTTTCGACGCCGTTTTTGAATGAACAAGTCCTTGTTCATGCGTATTGTTGATCGACTCTCCACTGAAATCTCATACTTTAAACAAAGAAGAGATGCTACTGGAAGGTTCAGTCACTCTCCGTTACAAAAAGACAAAGGCATCAATTCGTATGATGGCATATGGTTGTCCAGCTGATGTGGTTGACGAATACCACCGACTTGGTGAGACCACCGCTCTTTTATGCTTGGAACATTCTGTTCAGTGAATTATAAATTTATTTGGAGATGAGTATATAAGATGACGCACACCAGAAGATCTTCAACGACTACTCAATATTGGAGAGATACGTGGATTTCCTGGGATGATATGAAGCATTGATTGTATGCATTGGGAGTGGAAGAATTGTCCGACCACATGGAAAGGTCAATATACACATGGATCAGAAAAGCCAACAATTGTTTTAGAGGTTGTGGCTTCACAAGATCTCTGGACATGGCATGCGTTTTTCGGACCTCCAGGTACATTAAACGATATCAATATTCTTGATCGATCACCAGTTTTGATGATATATTACAAGGTCGAGCTCCAAAAGTGAATTACATTGTCAACGGACACAAGTACCATTTGGCTTACTATCTCACATATAGTATTTATCCAAAATGGGTTATTTTTGACCAATCTATTCCACTTCCACAAGGTCCGAAAGCATCCTTATTCGGTACACATCAAGAAGCTGTACATAAAGATGTCGAGGGTGATTTTGGGGTCTTGAAAGCTCGATTTGCCATAGTAAAAAAATCTAGCTCTTTTATGGTATAAAATAAAATTGGGAAAATAATGAGAGCATGTATCATTCTACAGAATATGATCGTAGAAGACGAACGAGATGGGAACACTCAATTTGATGTATCAGTTTTCACACAACCGGAATCAAACCGAAGTTCACAAGTGGATTTCACGTATTCTACGAATATTCCTTCAAATCTCGGCAAACTGATGAGCATTTGGAATCGAGTTCGTGATAAAACAATACATTAACAATTGAAAACTGATTTGGTTGAGAATATATGGCAAAAATTTGGAACAAATCAATATTTCAACTAATCGGTTTTTTCTCGTTTACGATTTGTATTTGTATTTTTAATATGCTTTTATGTCATTTT